TCCTCCTCCTCCTCCTCCTCCTCCATCCCAGATTCCCGCCTCACTTGTCCGGTTTCCCGGGCAGCAGCAGCCGCAGGCGGCACTTGTTGGCCGAGTGGATCTCCTCCTCCTTGACCTTCATCATCCTCTGCAGGGCCAGGCACCAGTCCTGCGCCACCGTCATGTTCAGGTTCTGGAGAACATCGGGAATGGTTCCTCAGAGCCAGGATCAGCCCAGATCCTCGGGCGCCGGCGTTGGCCGCGGCCGCGGCGCTGTCCTTGTCACCGGCGCCGCTCTCCTGGCCCACCTCCACCACCTGCACCTGCGGGAGGGCCGTGCTCCACTTCAGCACGTACTTGGGGCCCAGGGGCACCAGGCTGCTGATTTCCAGCTGGCCTCTGCCAAGGCAAGAATTCCAGGTCAAGAAAACCCTGGGTTTTCCCAAAATCCGTGGATTTTCCCAAAAAAAACCCCAGTTTTTCCCCCCAAAAATATGTGTTTTGCAAGCCGAGCACCCCACACCATACGGGAACCCCAAAATGTGAGGCTGCTGATTTCCAGCTGGCCTCTATCAAGGCAAGAACTCCATGTCAAAAAAAAACCCCAGATTTTCCCAAAAAACATGGACTTCCCCCCCAAAAAAAGCATCCCACGAGCCAAGCACCCCACACCGTGCAGGAACCCCCAAAGGTGGGGCACACGACACAGCACAGCACACCAGGCACCTACCCTGCAGGCACTGGCCTGGAGAGTGGAAAAAGGAGGGATTCAGTGGGATTTGGGGAATTTGGGGTGGTTTTCCCACTTGGCGGCATCAAATCCTACCAACTCCACCCCATTCCCAGATCCCACAGCAGCAGGGAAGGAGATGGGTCAAAGGTGGGCAGGTAAATCCCAAATTCAATGAGATTTCCAAAAATAAAATCCCAAACTTGATGGGAATTCTCCAAAAACCCCAAACTCAATGCGATTCTCACCAAAAACCCCAGACTTTATGGGATTTCCCCCCAAATCCCCAGACTGGGTAGGATCCCCTTAAAAACCCAAAACTCAATGGGATTTCCCTAATAACCCCAAATTTGATGGGATTCCTCCCAAAAACCTCAAACCCAATGGGAATCCCCCAAAAAACCCCAACTCAAATGGTGATCCCCCCGAACTTGATGGGATTCCCCCGAAAAATGAGGATGAAGAGGATGAGGAGGAGGATGAGGATGAAGAGAAGGATGCAGAGGATGGGAATGAGGAGGAAGATGAGGATGAGGATGAGGATGAGGATGAGGATGAGGATGAGGATCAGGATGAGGATCAGGATGAGGAGGATGCAGAGGATGGGGATTAGGAGGAGGAGAACGAGGAGAATGAGGAGAACAAGAAGGATGAGGAGAATGAGGGAAAGGAGAACGAGGAGGATGAAGAGAACGAGGAGGAAAACAAGGATGAGGAGGAGGAAGGTGATGATGACAAGGACAAGGAAGAGGATGAGGATGTGCTGAGATCTCCGGGGGGTTCTGGGGTCAGGAGGTGCCCAGCACGTACTTGAAGTTGACGTTGGCGCAGACCAGGAGGTCGCTGAGCAGGAACACCTTCCTCTCCTTGGACTTGAGCAGCTGCCCGCGGTCGCCGTACACCGTCTCGGTCAGCGTCTCGCAGAGCAGCAGCTGCCGCTGCCCCGAGCTCAGCAGCTGCAGGACAACCCCCAGACGGTGACTCCAGGCTGGAGATGCCACCCCGGAGCGGCCAATCCCACCACGGAGCCGGAATCGCCAATTCCCAGCATTGTCAAAAAATAGAGCTTCGCCAAGAGGTCCCCATCTTCCTCCAGAACCTCCCAAAACCTTCTCCAGAACCTCCCAAAACCTTCTCAAGAGCCTCCCAAAAACCTCCTCAAGAACCTCTCCAAACCTTCTTTACTACTTCCCAGAACTTCTCCAAAAGGTCCTCAACCTTCTCCAGAACCTCCCAAAACCTTCTCCAGAACCTCCCAAGACCTCCTCCAAAAGCTCCAAAAACTCCCCCAGAATCTCCCCAGTCCTCCTCTAGATCCTCCCAAAAACCTTCTCCAGAACCTCCCAAAAAACATCTCCAGATCTTCCTAAAAACCTCCTCCAAAAGTTCCCAAACCTTTTTCAAAAGCTCCTAAAACTTCTCCAGAATTTCCCCAAAACCTTCTCCAGAACCTCCCAAAAACCTTCTCCAGAACCAGGAGACCCTGACATGGAGTGGGAGCTCCAAACCCAAACCCAGCAGATCCTTGGGGAGGAACTCCCAAATTCCACCTTCAAGGTTTGGTTTGGTTCAAGATCCTCTCGGAACAAACAGGGATCCTGCTTCCCAAAAACCCCAATGTAGAGAGGGAGCCACAAATCCCACCCAGCAGCTCCAAACCCCGCTGAGGATGAGGATGAGGATGGGGATGAGGGGCAGGAGGTGGAGGATGAGGATGATGAGAAGGAAGTGGAGGATGAGATGGAGGAATGAGGAGGAGGTACAGGAGGCGGAAGATGAGGAGGATGAGAAGGAAGTGGAGGACGAGATGGAGGAATGAGGAGGAGGTACAGGAGGCGGAAGATGAGGAGGATGAGAAGGAAGAGGAGGATGAGATGGAGGAATGAGGAGGAGGTACAGGAGGTGGAAGATGAGGAGGATGAGAAGGCTGAGGGATGAGGGTGAGGATGAGGAGGACGAGGAGGATGGAGAACAGGAGGATGAGGGAGATGAGGACAAGGAGGATAAGGAGAATGAGGACGAGGATGAGGAGGATGAGAAGGATAAGGCTGAGGATGAAGACAAGCAGGAGGATGAGGATGAAGATGAGGGTGATGAGGAGCCCCCACCTTGTTGAAGCTGCTGCGGTCGCTGATGCTCTTGCTGAGCTGCTGCATCTCGGCCACCTGGTCGGCCAAGCGCTTCTGCTCGTTGAGTTTCTCGGCCAGCGTCTCCAGCTCGGTCAGCGCCAGCTGCAGGGACAGGCGGTCGGCGTGGCCGCGCGGGGTGTTCTTCAGCATGTCCTGGGACACGGAAACACCGGGAATGGCCCTGAGGAACCGCCACGGCAACGCTTACGGAGCTCCAGCACTGAGGTGTGGAGGATGATCCTTGGGGGGATCCAAAAATCCAACCGGGGTGCCCACTCCAAAGTGTGTCTCTGTCCTGCAGCTCCCAAAAAGGTGCTTCTCCACAATATTCCAAAAACCTTCTCCAGAACACCCCAAAACCTTCTCCAGAACCTTCTCAAAACTTTCTCCAGAATCTCTGCAACTTTGCTCAAAACCTCCCCAAAACCTTCTCCATAACCTCCCAAAAACCTCCTCCAAAAGCTCCCCAAAGCCTTCTCCAGAGCCTCCAAAAAACCTTCTCCATAACCTCCCAAAAACCTCCTCCAAAAGCTCCCCAAAGCCTTCTCCAGAGCCTCCAAAAAACCTTTTCCAGAACCTTCCAAAAACCTTCTCCAAAAGCTCCCCAAAAACTTCTCCAAAAGTTCCCCAAGACCTTCTCCAGAACCTCCCCAAAGCCCTCCAGAACCTCCCTTCTCTCACCTGCAGGAGAAGGATGGACTGAGGGAATTGGGAGCACTTTGGGCACCTCCAAAATCAAAACTTAGGAGATGATCCTTGGGATGGATCCAAAAATAAAAAAAATCCCAAAAGTCAAAAAAAATCTGGCCCTGTCCTGCAGCACCCAAAAAGTTGCTTCTCCAGAATCTCCCTAAAACCTCCTCCAGAATCTCCCCAAAACCTCCTCCAAAAGCTCCCCAAAACCTTCTCCAGAATGTCCTAAACATCTTCCAGAACCTCCCTGATGTCCTCCAGAACCTCTCCCTCGTCTCACCTGCAGGAGGAGGATGAACTGAGGGAACCTCTGGATGGGCTTCACCATCAGCCCGTAGAGCGTGACGCGGTCAGCGCTGGCCATCTGCCGCTTCTGCCGGGGGAAACGCCACAAAAAGGGGATTTTTGGGCAAATGCCATAAAAAGGGGATTTTTGGGAAAAGCGGAGCCGCAGAGGGGCCGCGCTGACCTTGAGGAAGTCCAGGAAGGCAGGTTTGGTCAGACAGGCCTTCTTGATCAGGGACATGGCCGTGGTGAAGTTGTTGACGTAGTCGCTGTAGACGTCCAGCACCATGGACTTGGAGAACTGGGAGAGGACGGAGATTGGGAATGGCGTGGGGCTTCCCAAAAACGGGGCGGGGCTTCCCAAAAAACAGGGTGGGCAAGGTGCTGGGGGTGTCTCATCACTCCAGTCCTCCACCCATCCCTGGTGGGATCCCAAGGGATGTTTGGGGCTGATTCTTGGTTATTCTTCCTACTGAAGTGGCAAGTTTGGCACCATGGACTTGGGAGAAGTGGGAGAAGACAGGAGAGCGGGAATGGTGTGGGGCTCCCCAAAAAATGGGAAATCGTGCAGTGCTGGGGGTATCCCATCACTTCAATCCTTCACCCATCCCTGGTGGGATCCCAAGAAAAGTTTAGTGGTGATTCCCAGTTTTTTATCCTACCAAGGCCATGAGTCCAGCACCATGAACTTGGAGAACTGGGAGAGGACAGGACCCTGGGAATGATGTGGGGATTCCCAAAAAATGGAGTGGGCAAAACGTGGGATGCTGGGGGCATCCCAATTTGGGCTCCATCACTCCACCCATCCCTGGTGGGATCCCAGGGGGATTCTGGGGGCAATTCCCGATCTCTAATGGGATGCCAGGGGAGGTCTGGGGGTGATTCCCAGTCACTGATCCCAGGGGGGTTTGGGGGGAAATTCCCAATCTTTGGGGAGGATTGGGGGTGATTCCCAATCTCTGATCCCAGGGGGATTTTGGGGGCAATTCCCAGCTTTTGATAGGACCCCAGAGGGAAGCCATTCCTGGCTTTTGCTGGGACCCCAGCAGGATTTGGGGCCATTCCTGGTTTTTGCTGGGATCCCAGCATGATCTGGGGAAATTCCTGGTTTTTGCTGGGATCCCAGGGGGATTTGGGGCAATTCCTGGTTTTTGCTGGGAACCCAGCAGGATTTGAGGCCATTCCTGGTGTTTGCTGGGACCCCAGCAGGAATTTGGGGCCATTCCCTGTTTTTGCTGTGATCCCAGCAGGTTTTGGGGCCATTCCCGGTTTTTTCTGTGATCCCAGTGGGATTTGAGGCCATTCCCTGTTTTTGCTGTGATCCCAGCGGGATTTGGGGCCATTCCCGGTTTTTGCTGTGATCCCAGCAGGATTTGGGGCCATTCCCTGTTTTGCTGTGATCCCAGCGGGATTTGGGGCCATTCCCGGTTTTTGCTGTGATCCCAGTGGGATTTGGGGCCGTTCCCACTCCCCCCTCACCGAGGCCACGAAGAGGTCCCCGATCTTCTCGTTGGAGTCCCACTCGGCCACGCGCGAGGCCAGGGCGATCTGGAACATGGAGTGGCACTGCAGGATCTCCTTCAGCCGGAAGAACACCACCTGGCACTTGCGGGCGCTCAGCACCTTGGGCTCCATCTCCAGCAGCGGGTTCCGGTAATCCTGCGGGAATTGCGGCGCTGGGATCGCGGGATCCGCGCCGGGGGATCCCCATCCCGCCCCGGCGGGGCCCACCTGCAGGATGCGCTTCAGGGAGTCCACGTAGCTGCGCTCGCTCTGCACGATGGAGCCCAGGATGTGCCGCCGGAGCACCTGCGGGGCACGGAACGCGTCCTGATCCCAAAATCCCCGATCGTGGGACTGGGGAAAGGCAGGCACAGCCCTGATCCCAAAATCCCCAATCGTGGGACTGGCGAAAGGCAGGCACAGCCCTGATCCCAAAATCCCCAATCCCAGGATTGGGGAAATGCAGGAACAACCCTGATCCCAGAGTCCCAAATTCCAGGATCAGGGAAAGCCCTGATCCCACAATCCCAAATCCTGATATAATGGGAAAGGCAGGCATAGCCCTGATCCCAAAATCCCCAATCCCAGGATTGGGGAAATGCAGGAACAACCCTGATCCCAGAGTCCCAAATTCCAGGATCAGGGAAAGCCCTGATCCCACGATCCCAAATCCTGATATAATGGGAAAGGCAGGCATAGCCCTGATCCCAAAATCCCCAATCCCAGGATTGGGGAAATGCAGGAACAACCCTGATCCCAGAGTCCCAAATTCCAGGATCAGGGAAAGCCCTGATCCCACGATCCCAAATCCTGATATAATGGGAAAGGCAGGCATAGCCCTGATCCCAAAATCCCCAATCCCAGGATCGGGGAAATGCAAGAACAGCTGTGATCCCCAAATCCCAGAAGAAGGGAAAGGCAGGCCCAGCCTGTGGGGCTCAGCCGTGATCCCCCAACCCCAAATCCCAGGAAAAGGGAACCAGCCCCAGCCCTGCGGAAGCGCTGACTCAGTAGCGCTGGTTTTGCTGACTGTGCATTTCTCTGTTGCCCAATCACGGTGCCCAGGGGACACCGTGACCCCCCCAGATCCCGGGAAAGCCTTGATCCCAGAACCCGGGAGAGCCATGATCCCAGGAAAGCTCCAGTCCCAATCCCAGGAAAGCCCCAAGCCCAGGCGATCCCAGGAAAGCCCAGATCCAACGAAAGCCCAGACCCCAGATGCCAGGAAAGCCCTGATCCCAATCCCAGGAAAACCCAGACCCCAGAAAATCCCTGATCCCAGGAGAGCCCCGATCCCAGGAGAGCCCCGATCCCAGGAAAGCCCCGATCCCAGGAGAGCCCCGATCCCAGGAAAGCCCCGATCCCAGGAAAGCCCCGATCCCAGGAGAGCCCCGATCCCAGGAAAGCCCCGATCCCAGGAGAGCCCCGATCCCAGGAAAGCCCCGATCCCAGGCGATCCCGGACCTGCTGCGGGCTCAGCCCCTCGGGCGCGGGGCCCAGCTCGGGCGGGGGGTGCCTCATGTCGGACACGGTGACCTCCAGGAAGCCGGTGTCCTCCTCCTCCGAGTCCCCTGCGGCACGGGAACACCAAAAACCCCAAACTGACCCCAAAACTGACCCCAAACTGAGCCTTCCGGGGCCGGAGGCGCAGCTCGGCTCTCCCAATATTCCCGCTTCTCCCGGTGTCCCGTGCCCTTGCGGAGCGGTCACCGGACACCGGGATGAGACGGGCAGGAGCAGGGATGGGACCGGGAGGGGACAGGCAGGGTCCCCATCCCAAAAATCCGCCCGGGAACAGCGCCTCGTCCTCGCTCCGAGACAGCGGGAAACGGGAAAAGGAGCCGGGAAAAGGAGCCGGGAAAAGGAGCCGGGAAAAGGGGGAAGTGCTGCAGTGAGGACCAAAACAGCGCCACGGGGAGGGGACAGGGAAGGTCCCCATCCCAAAAATCCGCCCGGGAACAGCGCCTCGTCCTCGCTCCGAGACAGCGGGAAACGGGAAAAGGAGCCGGGAGCCCGGGAAAAGTGGGAAGTGCCGGAGTGGGGACCAGCACAGCGCCGCGGGGAGGGGACAGGGAGGGTCCCCATCCCAAAAATCCGCCGGGAAGCAGCGGGGACAGCGTCTCATCCTCGCTCCCAGACAGCGGGAAACGGGAAAAGGAGCCGGGAAAAGGAGCCGGGAGCGCAGGAGAAGCGGGACGCGCCGGAGCGGGCAGCCCTTACCCGAGGCTGAAGCAGCCGAGGAGGAGGAGGGTGAGCGAGCCAAGGAAAACTCGGGATGAGCCAAGGAAAACTTGGGATGGGAACGCGGCCGTCGCCTCCACATGGCCCCGGCCCCATCCCGGGCCAGAAATCCCGGGAAGGGGAAGAGCCGGGGGGAGGGAAGGAGGAAGGGAAGGGAGGAAGGGAGGGAAGGGCTGCGGGGACCTTTTTCCTTCCCTAATTTCGGCTCCTCCTCCCCGGGGATGCTCTCCCGGGATTGCCGCGCCCCAAAGCCGCGCTGGCCATGCGGGAACAGCGGGACCGATCCCATGGGAACGGCAGGACCGATCCCATGGGAAGTTGTGGGAACAGTGGGACCGATCCCATGGGAACGGCGGGACCGATCCCGTGGGAATGGCGGGACACGCACAGCCAACCGCATCCCATGGGAAGCTGCAGGAAAGCCAGGAACACACAGCGGATCCCATGGAAAGCTGCAAAAATGCGGGAACACGCAGCCAATCCCATGGGAATGCTCTGCAAATGCCGGGAACACACAGCAGATCCCACGGGAATGCCGGGAACACGCAGCGGATCCCATGGGAATGCCCTGGGAATGCCAGGAACACACAGCAGATCCCATGGGAATGCTCTGGGAATGCCCTGGGAATGCCAGGAACACGCAGCGGATCCCATGGGAATGCCCTGGGAATGCCAGGAACACACAGCAGATCCCACGGGATTGCTCTGGGAATGCCAGGAACACACAGCCAATCCCACGGGAATGCCGGGAACACACGCGGCCGATCCCCCGGGAAGCTCCAGGCGCTGGGATCCAGCGGGATCGATCCTACCTCCCCTGGATCCTACCTGCCCCGGGCTGCTCCAGGGAAACCCGGGAGCTCCGGCGGGAGCGCGGCGGCTTCTCCGCCTCGGCCGCGCTCCTCCTGCGCTCCCCATCCCCTGCGGGACAGGGAAAGGCCCCGGGAATTGGGAATTCAGGGCAAAACCCGCAGGGAAAACCCAAGGACGGCCCCAGCACTGCTGGGGGAGCGGCTGGATTATCCCAAAAATGCAAGGAGCGAGTTGGAGTTTGCGAGGAGTGGGAACGGCCCAGGGAAAGCTTCAAATGCAGGGAATTATCCAGGAAAAATGGGAAAGGGGAGCAGGACGAGGATTCCCTAAAAACCATCTTCTCCAAGGGCTTTGCTGGGCTGTGGGGTTTGGGTTTCCTGCTCCCCATTCCCTACAGGACAGGGAAGGGTCAGGAAAACCCCCCAGGAACTGGGAATTTAAGGAAAAATCCTGAAGGAAAAATCCTGAGGGAAAAATCCAAGGGAAACTCCCTGGGAACTGGGAATTCAGGGGAAAAATCCTGAAGGAAAAAATCCAAGGGAAACCCCAGTGCTGCTGGATGGAGTAGCTGTTTTATCCCAAATGGAAAAAGAGAACAAGATGCAAGTGGGAACAAAGGATACCTCCAAATACAGGGAATAATGCAGGAAAAAACATGGGAAAAGTGAGAGGGATCAGAATTCCTGAATTCCGCCCTCTCCAAAGGCTTCTCCCAGCTCTGGGTTGTTTTCCCACTCTCCATTCCCTACCACACAAGGCTGGGTCAGGAAAAGCCCTGGGAATTGGAAATTCAGGGGGAAAACCCTGAAGGAGAAATCCAAGGGAAAGCCCTGAGGAACTGGGAATTCTGGGAAAGAAATCCTAAAGGAAAAATCCAAGAAAAACCCCTGAGCAATTGGGAATTCAGGGGGAAACTCTTGAAAGAAAATCCATGGGAAATGTGGGAATTGAGAAAGAAATCCTGCAGGAACAAAATCCTGAACGAAAAATGCAAGGACCAGGTGCTGCCAGTTTATCCTTGCAGGATAAAAGGAGGGAGGTGGCGCCTGCAGAGATCCTGGGAAGCTCCAGATCCATGGAATGAGGCGGGAGAAGGGGAAGGAGGTTCTGGAGGGATTGGATCGCCGGGATTCCCTGGGGATGGGATTCCCGGCTCCATAGGGATGGGATCCCTGGGGTTCCCTGGGGATGGGATCCCTGGGGTTCCAGAGGGATGGGATTCCTCGGGGATGGGACCCTGGAGATTTCTGAGGGATGGGATCCCTGGGGTTTCCCTGGGATGGGCTTCCCGGGTTCCATAAGGATGGCATCTCCAGATTCCAGAGGGATGGGATTCCCTGGGGATGGGATCCCCGAGGCTCCCTGGGGATGGGATATCCAGGGTTTCCCCGGGGGATGGGATCCCCGGGTTTCCCAGGGGATGGATTCCCTGGGGTTCCCTGGGATGGGATTCCCTGGGGTTCCCTGGGGATGGGATCTCTGGGGTTCCCTGGGATGGGATTCCTGGGTTTCCCTGGGGATGGGATCCCTACGGTTCCCCGGGGATGGGATTCCTGGGTTTCCCTGGGATGGGGTCCCGGGGTTTCCCCCGGGATGGGGTCCCCGGTTCCCCGGCTGCGGGGTGCCGGTGCCTCACCTGGGCCGTCGCGGCGCTGCAGGAAGGTGACCCTGCGCAGCACGGCCATGCGCGTGCGCTCCAGCCCGTCCTTGGTGCCGCTGCGCGCCGCCCGCATCAGCTGCGACACCTGCAACGGAAACCGGGGCCAGCGCGGGCATCACCACCGGGATCACCACCGGGATCACCACCGGGATCACCACCGGGATCACCCCTGGGATCACCCCGGGATCACCACCGGGATCACCCCTCGGATCACCACTGGGATCACCCCTGGGATCACCACCGGGATCACCCCTGGGATCATCACCGGGATCACTACCGGGATCACCACCGGGATCACCCCTGGGATCACCCCTGGGATCACCACCGGGATCACCACCGGGATCACCACCGGGATCACCACCGGGATCACCACCGGGATCACCCCTGGGATCACCCCTGGGATCACCACCGGGATCACCACCGGGATCACCACCGGGATCACCCCGGGATCATCACTGGGATCACCACTGGGATCACCACCGGGATCACCACCGGGATCACCAACGGGGTCATCACCGGGATCACTACCGGGATCACTACCAGGATCACCACTGGGATCATCACCAGGATCACAGGGGTCACTGGGATCTCAGGGAGCACAGGGATCACAAGGATTAATGGGATCACCATTGGGATTGCAGGGATCATCACTGGGATCACTGGGATCGCAGGGATCACCAGGATCACAACAATCACTGCCGGGATCACAGGGATCATCACTGACATCATCACCAGGATCATCACCATGATGTCAGAGATGAACAGGATCACCGGGATCATCATCGGGATTACAGGGGTCACTGGGATCTCAGGAAGCACAGGGATCACAAGGATCAGCAGGATCACAGGGAGCACCAGGATCTCAAGGATCAGTGGGATCATCACAGGGATCAGTGGGATCATTACTGGAAACGCAAGGATCACCAGGATCACAGGGATCATCACCGATATCACTGGAATTGCAGGGATCACTGGGATCACAGGGACCAGCAGGATCTCAGGGAGCACAGGGATCACAAGGATCAATGGGATCACCACAGGGATCATAGGGATCATCACTGAGATCATCACAAAGACCACAGGGATCATCAGGAACACCAGGATCACAGGGATAACAGGAATCATAGGGATCACTAGGACCAGAGGCATAACAAGGAAAACAGGGATCTCAGGGATCATCACCAGGATCTCAGGGATCATCACCGGGATCTCAGGGATCTCAGGGATCAGGAAGCTCCAGGCTGCCCCAGGATCCCTCTCAGATCCCGCCCCTCAGGAAGATCCCTGGAGCACCATTCCCTGTTTTCCCACGCAGGCGGGAGCAGCAGGCACACAGCCATGCTCGGGGATCCTCCCTGGATCCCCCCGGATCCCTGGGGATCCCTGCCGGGGTGTGCAGCAGCCGGAGCGGGGTCGTGCAGCGCAGCCAAGCGGGGCCGGCCAGGGATCGGGTGTGTGGGGCAGGGAGAGGGGGATCGGCCTTTCCCACCCCACTCCTGGGGTTTTACCCCAAATCTGACAGTTCTACTCCAAATCCTGGCATTTCTACTCTAAATCCAAGAGTTTTACCCCAAATCCCAGTGTTCTACCCCAAATCTGACAGTTCTACCCCAAATCCCAGCGTTTCTACTCTAAAGCCCATGTGGTACCCCAAATCGGACAGTTCTACCCTAAATCCCAGTGTTGTACCTCAAATCTAACAGTTCTACCCCAAATCCCAGAGGTTTACCCCAAATCCCAGTGTTCTACCCCAAATCTGACAGTTCTACCCCAAATCCCAGCAGTTCTACCCTAAATCCCATGGGTACCCCAAATCTGACAGTTCTACCCTAAATCCCAGTGTTGTACCCCAAATGTAACAGTTCTACCCCAAATCCCAGTGTTCTACCTCAAATCCCAGCATTTCGACCCTAAATCCCAGTGTTGTACCCCAAATGTAACAGTTCTACCCCAAATCCCAGTGTTCTACCCCAAATCTGATGGTTCTACTCCAAATCCCAGCAGTTCTACCCCATGGAATACCGGCCAGGATGGGATGGGGTGGGAAAAGCTCTGCCCTGAGGTTCCACAGTTCCCAAAATTCTCCTTCCTTCCTTCCTTCCTCCCCTCCTGAATTCCTTCCTGAGTTCCTGAATTCCTTCTTTAATTCCTTCATTTGTGAATTCCTTCCTGAATTCTTGAACTCCTTTCGGAATTCCCAAACTCCTGATTGTCTTCCTGAATTCCTTCCCAAATTCCTGAACTCATTATTTTCTTCCTGAATTCCTTCCTTAATTCCTTCCTGAATCCCTGAATTCCTTCCTGGATCCTCAAATCCCTGAATTCCAATGGCTTGGGAAGCCCCAGGATCTGTTGGACACGAGCAGCACCCCAGCAGCTCCAGGCCGAATTTCTGGGACAGGAATGGGATGGGCCCAGCCTGGATCCATTCCACGAGGGAATTCTATCCCCCCAGGCTGGGAATTTGGGGAATTTCGGGCTGCGGGACGGGGTCGGTACCTTCCAATCGGATTTGTGCTTCAGCTCCTGCATTTCCTTCCCCCCAACTCTCAGAGCCAGGAGCTCCCGCTTAGTCCTGGCGCATTTTTCCTTGAGTTTATGGAGGTCTGGAGAGAGCTGAGCCCAAAGCAAAGCGGGAGAGCAGCAGAGCAGAGATCCCAGGAAGCAGCAAATGCAAAAAAACAGGAGAGATCATCCCAAAGGAGCAGCGAACAGCGGCGGCAGCCCGGAATTCCGGCTGGGAGCAGGCAGGGAGTGCGGGAGCAGTGGGGAAAGGCTCAGAAACAGGAGGAATCATCCCAAAAATCCTGAAATGCCAGCTGGGATGGAGCAGGGGGTGCAGCAGGAGCAGGGAAAGGCAGGGAGAGGCTCAAAACCAGGAGAAATGACCCCAGAATTGTGTCTGGGATGGAGCAGGGAGTGCAGGAACAGCAGGGAAAGCAGCACAGGACAGGCAGCAGCATCCCGGAATTCCAGCTGGGAGCGAGCAGGGAGTACAGGAGCAGCAGGGAATGGTTCAGAAACAGGAGAAGTCACCCCAAAAATCCTGTCTGGGAGCAAGCAGGGAGGGCAGAAGCAGGGAAAGACAGAAAGAGGATCAAAACCAGGAGGAATCATCCCAAAAATCCCGAAATTCCAGCTGGGAGCAAGCAGGCAGTGAAGGAGCAGCAGAGAGAGGCTCAAAAATGGGAGAAACCATCCTGGAATTCTGGCTGGGATGGAGCAGGGAATGCAGGAGAAGGGAAAGGCAGGGACAGCCCCAAAAGCAGGAGGAATCATCCCAAAAATCCCAGAATTCTGGCTGGGATGGAGCAGGGAATGCAGGAGAAGGGAAAGGCAGGGACAGCCCCAAAAGCAGGAGGAATCATCCCAAAAATCCCAGAATTCTGGCTGGGATGGAGCAGGGAATTCAGGAGAAGGGAAAGGCAGGGACAGCCCCAAAAGCAGGAGGAATCATCCCAAAAATCCCAGAATTCTGGCTGGGATGGAGCAGGGAATGCAGGTGAAGGGAAAGGGAGGGACAGCCCCAAAAGCAGCAGGAATCATCCCAAAGCGGCAGGAACAGGCAGCAGCATCCCAAAATTCCGACTGGGATGGAACAGGGAGTGCAGCAGGAGCAGGGAAAGGTAGGGAGAGGCTCCAGCAGGGGGAAAATTATAAAGGGAAGGAGGAAATCGGAAAGAAAATTCCAGGAAAAACACAGCAGCATCAGCGGGATGCTCCGGGGCCTCCATGCAGGAGAATCCTGGGAAAAGCCGGGATGAGAATTCCAAGGGGATGGATGAGGATTCCAAATGAATGGATGAGGATTCCAAATGGATGGATGAGAATTCCAAGGGGATGGATGAGGATTCCAAATGGGGATGGATGAGAATTCCAAATGGGTGGATGAGAATTCCAAATGGATGGATGAGGATTCCAAATGGATGGATGAGAATTCCAAGGGGATGGATGAGGATTCCAAATGGGTGGATGAGAATTCCAAGGGGATGGATGAGAATTACAAATGGGTGGATGAGAATTCCAAATGGATGGATGAGGATTCCAAATAGATGGATGAGACTTCCAAGGGGATGGATGAGACTTCCAAGGAGGAATGGATGAGGATTCCAAATGGATGGATGAGAATTCCAAGGGGATGGATGAGGATTCCAAATGGGGATGGATGAGAATTCCAAATGGGTGGATGAGAATTCCAAATGGATGGATGAGGATTCCAAATGGATGGATGAGGATTCCAAGGGAATGGATGAGACTTCCAAGGGGATGGATGAGACTTCCGAGGAGGAATGGATGAGGATTCCAAGGAATGGATGAGGATTCCAAGGGATGGATGAGGGTTCCAAAGGGATGGATGAGGGTTCTAAGGAGGTTTCTAAGGAGGGATGAGGATTCCAAGGGATGGTACCTTGGGCTGGAACGCCGCGCGGAGCTTGGCCGGCTCCGCGTCCCGCCGGGATTCCGGCCGGGATTCCTCTCCGGACTCGCCCTCGCTGTAGCTCTCGAACTCGCTGGAGCTCCAGCCCAGGTCCTGCCCCAGGCGCGTCCCCTCCCCGCGCTGCACCTCGGCGTAGATCAGCCCCGCGCCTGCCGAGCCCGGGAACCCCGCTGCATTCCCGCTGCATTCCCGTTCCCACTCAATTCCCATTCCATTCCTGCTCCCATTCCATTCCCATTCCCACTCAATTCCCTTTCCCACTCCCATTCCATTCCCATTCCCACTCCCATTCCCATTCCCACTCAATTCCCATTCCATTCCCATTCCCACTCCCATTCCCGTTCCCACTCAATTCCCATTCCATTGCTGCTCCCATTCCATTCCATTCCCACTCAATTCCCATTCCATTCCCATTCCCACTCAATTCCCATTCCATTCCCATTCCCACTCAATTCCCATTCCATTCCCGCTCCCATTCCCGCTCAATTCCCATCCCATTCCCATTCCCACTCCCATTCCATTCCCATTTCCACTCAATTCCCATTCCATTCCCATTCCCCCTCCCATTCCATTCCCATTTCCACTCAATTCCTATTCCATTCCATTCCCGCTCCCCTCCCACTTTTCCTGCTCCATTCTCGCTCCATTCCCACTGTTCCCTGTGCTCCCAAGCCATGGGAATTCTGGGCTTTGACTGTTTGGAAGGGATGCATGGATGGATGATGGGGGGATTGATCCCCTGGGAGTGCAGGGAATGAGGGGATAGAGGAAGGGGAAGGAGAATAGGAATGGGGAATGGGGAATGGGGAATGGGAATGGGGAATGGGGAATGGGGAATGGAGAATGGGAAAGGGAGGGAAAGGAAGGGAAATTTTGGGAACTGGGGAATCCTAATGCAGAACTCCAGAATTCCCATTCTCTGAAACCCTGAGGGTCCTGGAGCCCTCTGGGAGCAGCTCCATCCCGCCCAGATCCCGGGATTTCCCTTGTTATTCCCACCCACAGCCTCCTGGAGGATGGGACTCCCCTTCTTGATGGAAAATGGGATGGGGGACCCTGGAAAACCGGGAAGAGGCAGTGCCCATATGGAAAATGGGATGGGGTCTCCTGGAAAACCGGGAAGAGGCGGCTCCCGGCTGGAAAAGCAGGAAGAGCGCTCCCGTACCGTCCTGCTCCACATCCAGGCCCTCGCAGGGAACGTCGTCGTAGATGACCTCGTCCTCCACCTCCGGGAAGGAGAAACGCTCCCCTGGAAACCCCGGGATCGGGATTGGGATCGGGATCGGCAGCCCGGGATCCCAATGGGGTGCAGAAACCTTCCCAAGCCCACCAGGGGTTATCCAGGGGTTATCCAGGGGTTATCCAGGGGTTATCCAGGGGTTAATCCCAGCCTTTCCCCACCTCGGCAGATGCTCTCCCTCTTCCAGGTGCGGGTCCGGATCTGGGAATCTCCTCCGGCCTCGCCGTTGCTCACCTGTGCTGGGATCCTGCAGGTGCATTCCAGGGAAAAATCCCTTGGGATCAGGGGCAAATCCCCCGGGATCGAGGGCGCCCAGAGATCCCACCCACTCTCACCCCCATTCCCACTGCAGGAACAAAATAAGGAATTTTTTAAAGGAATTCCCCCCCCATCTGCTCCTTGGGAACCCAGGATTTAGGGTCATCCCAGATTTTTAGGGATGTTCTGCCAACACACGCAGGGATGATGGAAAAGATCCCAAAATCCTGGAGTTCTCCTGCTCGGAGCTGTTTGAAATATGGACAAGTTGGGGGAAACTGAGGCACAGCAGCAGCTGCGACATCAAACAGAGGGGACGGATCCCAAAGATCCATCACGGGACCCAAAATCCCATCAGAACTCCTGGAATTCCCACCAAAACCTCCTGAAACCCCCCAAAATCCCAGGAAACTCCCTGGAAATCCCAGGAAACTCCCTCAAATCCCACTGAACCCCCTGAAATCCCACTGGCACCCCAAAACTCACAGGAAATCCTACTAAATGCCCCAAATCCCACCAGAACCCCAAATTCCCTGGAAATCCCACTAATACCCCAAATCCCACCAGAACCCCAAATTCCCTGGAAATCCCACTAATACCCCAAATCCCACTCACCCTTCCTTGGTCTCTGGCTCCAGCCCTTCTGTGGGGAAGGAAAGCAAAGAGAAACAGTGTTGGCAGCCCAGGATGCACCGGGAATAGCAGGAATTTCCTACGGGAATACTGGGAATTCCACACCGGGAATGAGCAGGAATTCCTCTCTGGGCATTCCATACTGGGAATGAGCAGGAATTCCACATGGGAATACCAGGAATTCCCCACTGGGAATATCAGGAATTCCCCACTGGGAATGAGCAGGAATTCCACATGGGAATACCAGGAATTCCATACTGGGAATATTAGGAATTCCCCACTGGGAATGAGCAGGAATTCCATACTGGGAATGAGCAGGAATTCCACATGGGAATAATGAGGAATCCCCAGCGGAAATACTGGGAATTCCACACAGGAATGAGCAGGAATTCCATACTGGGAATATCAGGAATTCCCCACTGGAAATGAGCAGGAATTCTACATGGCAATACCGGGAATTCCATACTGGGAATACTGGGAATTCCACACCGGGAATGAGCAGGAATTCTATATGGCAATACCAGGAATTCCATACTGAGAATACCGGGAATTCCATACTGGGAATACCAGGAATTCCATACTGAGAATACCGGGAATTCCATACTGGGAATACCAGGAATTCCATACTGAGAATACCGGGAATTCCATACTGGGAATACCAGGAATTCCATACTGAGAATACCGGGAATTCCATACTGGGAATACTGGGAATTCCACACCGGGAATGAGCAGGAATTCCCCACCAGGAATACTGGGAATTCCACAGGGGAATGAGCAGGAATTCCACATGAGAATACCGGGAATTCCATACTGGGAGTATCAGGAATTCCCCACTGGGAATGAGCAGGAATTCTATATGGCAATACCAGGAATTCCATACTGAGAATACTGGGAATTCCATACTGGGAATACCAGGAATTCCATACCAAGAATGAGCAGGAATTCCACATGGGAATACCAGGAATTCCCCACCGGGAATACTGGGAATTCCACAGGGGAATGAGCAGGAATTCCACATGGGAATACCAGGAATTCCATACTGGGAATACCAGGAATTCCACAACGGGAACGACTGGGAACGTTCCTGACCGGAGCTGGGCGGGCGCCGCCGGCGCGGGGGCGCCTGGAGAGCGATGTCAGCACCGGGATCGGCTCTGGGATCAACTCCGGGATCAGCTCCCGAATCCGAGTCCTCGTCCTCCCCCTCCTCCTCCTCCTCCTCCTCGCTGTCCTCGAAGTCGAAGGCCTGGCCCAGCTCCTCCATCCCCGCGGGGCTGGGGGGATCCGGGGGAGATCCTGCACGGGAACGGGCACGGAAAACATGGAATGGGGCACGGCAGAGCGGGGAACGGGGATGGGGGAAAGGGGAGGGATGGAAAAGGGGGATGGAGGAAAAAAGGGATGGAGATGGGAGAGGAGAAGGGAGATGGAGACAAAGGAGGGAGAAGGAAAAGAGAGATGGAGGAAAAGGGGGATGGAGGAAAAAAGGGATGGAGATGGGAGAGGAGAAGGGAGATGGAGACAAAGGAGGGAGGAGATGGAAAAGAGAGATGGAGGAAAAGGGGGATGGAGGAAATGGAGGAGACAGAAAAGGGGGATGGAGGAGATGGAGGAAAAGGGGGTGGAGATGGAATAGAAGGGGATGGAGATAAAGTGGGAGGGAGAAGAGGGATGGAGGTGGAGGAAGAGGATGAGGAGGGTGAAGGGAAGGGGAAGGGAGATAGAGCAGAGAGATGGAGGAAGAGAAGGGAGAAAAAGGGATGGAGGAGGAGAATGAGGATGGAGAAAACCAGGGAAGAGGGATGGAAATGGAGGACGGAAAAGGGGATGGAGGAGAGGGAAGAGGAAGGGGGATGGAGGAGGAAAAGGGGGATGGAGATGGAGGAGGGAGGAAAAGGGGGTGGGGGAGATGGAGAGGAATGGGGCCAGAGATTGAGGAGGAAAAGGGGGATGGAGGAGATGGACAAGGAAGGGGGATGGAGAAGAAGGGGATGGAAGGGGAAAAGGGGGATTGTCACCGTGGAGTCAGGAATGACACAGACTCCAGGTTTATGGAACCCCTTCTTTCACTCTGCTCTGCCACAGCTGCACCTGACTGGTCACTTAATTAACACATTCACGCTAATTAGGGAGTAATTTGGGGCGAACATCTTCTGAGGAAAACAGCTTGTTCCAAACCAAAAACCTGCCGATTTTTTACCATTGCTCCAAACAAAAACCTGCAGATTTTTTTACCACTTGTTTACAATTCCTTCTCTCTGCCTCCCTAAAACTTCCCAGACCAATCCATGGGAAAGCTCATCCGGCTTCCTGTCCCTCTGACCAGGCTGTCACATCCACGGGGGATGGAGGAGGAGGGGGAAAAGGGGCACGGGGATGGAGGAAAAGGGATGGAGATGGAGAATGCAGGGAAGGGGAGGGACAGGGATGGGAGGGGAATGGAGACGGGGAATGGAGGGAGGGAACCAGAGAACCAGGGAACAGGGAAATAGGGAATCAGGGAAATAGGGATTGGGGAACCAGGGAAATTGGGAATCAGGGAAATAGGGAATCAGGGAAATAGGGATTGGGGAACCAGGGAAATTGGGAATCAGGGAAATTGGGATTGGGGAACCAGGGAAATTGGGAATCAGGGAAACAGGGAATCAGGGAAATAGGGAACCAGGAAATTGGGGAATCAGGGAAATTTGGAATCAGGGACATAGGGAATCAGGGAACAGGCAATCAGGGAAATAGGGACTGGGGAATCAGGGAAATCGGGAATCAGGGAAATAGGGAACCAGGGAAATAGGGATTGGGCAACCAGGGAAATCAGGAATCAGGGGAATAAGGAATCGGGAAAATAAGGAACCAGGAAATTGGGGAATCAGGGAAATTTGGAATCAGGGACATAGGAAACCAGGGAATCGGGGACAAGGAACCAGGAATCAGGGAAATAGGAAACCAGGAGCAGAGAATGGGACCAGCACCCCCCAGGATCCAAGAGCCCTCCGTGTTTTCCCAATCCCAAGAGGCTCCAGCTGGGATACCCCGGGTGCTGCTCCCTCCTTCCCACCCCGGGCTGGCTGTCCCATTCCCAAAATCCCCCGAATTCCCAAATTCCCGAAGCCGAGGCTGACAGTACCTACTGCAGGCGGGGGGGGCGAGGCCATGGCGGGGGGGGCTCAGCTGCTCCAGGGGCGTTCCTGCAGAAAACAGGGAAAAGGGTTGGGAAAGGGGGAATTGGGGAACCAGGGAAATTGGGAATCAGGGAAATTGGGATTGGGGAACCAGGGAAATTGGGAATCAGGGGAATAAGGAATCGGGAAAATAAGGAACCAGGAAATTGGGGAATCAGGGAAATTTGGAATCAGGGACATAGGAAACCAGGGAATCGGGGACAAGGAACCAGGAATCAGGGAAATAGGAAACCAGGAGCAGAGCATGGGACCAGCACCCCCCAGGATCCAAGAGCCCTCCGTGTTTTCCCAATCCCAAGAGGCTCCAGCTGGGATACCCCGGGTGCTGCTCCCTCCTTCCCACCCCGGGCTGGCTGTCCCATTCCCAAAATCCCCCGAATTCCCAAATTCCCGAAGCCGAGGCTGACAGTACCTACTGCAGGCGGGGGGGGCGAGGCCATGGCGGGGGGGGCTCAGCTGCTCCAGGGGCGTTCCTGCAGAAAACAGGGAAAAGGGTTGGGAAAAGGGGAAAAGGTTGGGAAAGGGGGAAGAAAGAGTTGGGAAAGGGGGGGAAGGGTTGGAAAAGGGGGAAAGGGGTTGGGAAAGAGGAGGAAGGATTGGAAAAGGGCGGGGGAAAGGGTTGGGAAAAAGGATTGGGAAAGGGCAAAAAAGGGTTGGGAGATGGGGAAAAGGATTGGGAAAGGCTTGGGAAAAAAGGATTGGGAAAAGGAGAAAAAAAAGGGTGGAAAAGGGGGAAAAGGGTTGGAAAAGGAGGGGAAGAGGTTGGGAAAGAGGGGGAAAAGATGGGAAAAGTGTTGGGAAAGGGGGAAGAAAGAGTGGGAAAGAGGGGGAGAGGGTTGGAAAAGAGGGAAAGTGGAGGAAGGATTGGAAAAGGCGGGGGGGGAAGGGTTGGGAAAAAGGATTGGGAAAGGGCAAAAAAGGGTTTGGAAAGGGGGAAAAGGGCTGGGAAAGGGGAAAAGGGCTGGGAAAGGGTGATCAGCCCCAATCCCAGCCCTGGAAAGGACCGGGAGCCTCCAGTGGGATGGATCCAACTCAGGCTCCAGCTCGGGCAGGGAGCTGGGAACAGCTCAGGGAGAATTTATCCCGGGAATTGTGGATCCTGCCCCCGGGGAAGGGCGGGAAGCACCGGGATCCGGCCAGGATCGATGCAGGGATCGATGGAGCATCCGGCCGGAAAGCGGAGAGCGCCTGGAGGGCACCGGGAAGGTCGGAGCCGGGGGATGCTCCCAAGGGATGATCCCGGGAAAGGGCCCAGGAAAGGTCCCGGGAAAGTTTGATCCTTTTGGGATCTTCCCTTCTGGAATTCTGTTCCTGGAGTGGGAACCTCTCCTAGTCACCCAACCTGGGAATTTTCCCCGTGGATGCGACGCCGAGCAAGCCAGGAATCCAGGAGAAGAATCCACCAAAAACCAGGAGATCAATGCACAAAAACTGGGAGAAGAATCCCCAAAAACTGGGGGGAAAATCCCAAAATAAGAGCTGAATCCACAAAAAAACCAGGAGATCAATCCACAAAAAAATGGGAGATGAATCCTCAAAAACCAGGACAAGAATTTCCAAAATTCCAGGAGCAGAATCCCTAAAAACCAGGGGATGAATCCCCAAAATCCCAGGGAAGCTCCGTAGCCGGGTGTTCCCGGGACACCAAGAATTCCCAATTTCTGCAGCGCTGGCTCCAGAAAAGCCTCAAAGTTGGGAAACCTCAGGAAAAACAACTCCAGGATGGGGATTGGGATCCGGCCCCTTCCCGTTCCAGGCCCTTCTGCCGGCGGGAATCGCGGCCCATCCCAAATTTATCCGGGGAAAAGGTCACTCCTGTTTGGAGCTCTGAGCTCAGCCCAGCCCAGCCCGGATTTATCCCAGGCCTCCAAAATAATCCCGGGATTGGGATGGATCCAAGGGGAAAAGGGATTTTTCCTGGAGTGTTGCACCCAGTCAGGGGTGGGAACACCCCGGGAACAAAACGGATCCCATGGGATGAGGGAAAAATGGGATCTGTGGGAATGCACAGGGAGAGGAAAAGAGGGAAGCAGGAAAATCCAGGGGTGGGGGATGGGAACGGGGAGTCCCAGGAGCTGCTGGGGATCCTTGGAAATGAAGTGGGAGAGGAAAATCGGGAAGCAGGAATTCATGGAAATAAACTGGGAGAGGACAATCAGGATTCAGGATAATCCAGGGATGTGGGGATGGGGAATCATCCCTGGGAATGGGGAGTTCTGGGAGCTGCGAGGGATCCATGGAAATAAATTAGGAGAGGAAAAACAGGAAGCAAGATCCATGGAAATGAAGTGGGACAGGAAAAAGGGGATGCAGGAGAACCCAAGGATGTTGGGATGTTGGGAAGATCTCTGGAATGGGGATTCCAAGGAGGCCCCGGCCCTGGGAGCAGCGGGATCCAAGCCCAGCCTGGCCTCTCCCATCCCAGGGTATTTTTATCCCGGGATATTTTTATCCCTGGCACCAGAGCTGCTCCCTGGGGGAGCTGCTGATGGATCCACCCAGGGATCATCCAGGAATCATCCCAGGGATCCAGATCCATCCTGGATCATCCCAGGGATCCAGATCCATCCTGGGATCATCCCAGGGATCCAGATCCATCCTGGGATCATCCTGAGCCCTTCCCAGGGATCCAGATCCATCCTGGGATCATCCCAGGGATCCAGATCCATCCTGGGATCATCCTGAGCCCTTCCCAGGGATCCAGATCCATCCCAGGATCATCCCACAGATCCGGATCCATCCCAACCGGCCGGGATTGGATCAGGGATTGGGAACAGTGGGGGGAAATCCAGGATCCATTCCTGCAGGGAATCTGGGATCCATCCCAGCAGGAAATCCGGGATTCATCCCGGTGGGAAATCCAGGCTCCAACCCTGTGGGAAATCCAGGATCCATCCCAGCAGGAAATTTGGGATCCATTCCAGTGGGATTTGCCAGGAACATCCCAGGGATCCAGATCCATCCTGGGATCATCCTGAGCCCTTCCCATGGATCCAGATCCGTCCCAGGATGATCCCACAGATCCGGATCCATCCCAACCGGCCGGGATTGGATCAGGGATTGGGAACAGTGGGGGGAAAATCCAGGATCCATTCCTGCAGGAAATCTGGGATCCATCCCAGCAGGAAATCTGGGATTCATCCTGGAGGGAAATCCAGGATACAACCCTGTGGGAAATCCAGGATCCATCCCAGCAGGAAATTCGGGATCCATTCCAGTCGGTCCCGCCCTGCTGCTAATCCCAGGAATAAATAACTGGGAATAAATAAATAATAATTTTCCCCAAAATCCCCTTTATCTTCCCTAAATTCCCCCTCATTTGGCCCCAAAAATTCCCTTTATTTTTCCCCAAAATTCCCCGAATTTTCCCCAAAACTCCCTTTCATTAGGCTCCAAAACTCCTTTTATTTACAAAAAAAAATTTCCTTTCATTTGTCCCAAAATTCCCTTTATTTGTCCCAAAATCCCCTTTATTTGTCCCAAATCCCCTTTATTTTTGTTACAAATGGGAATTCCCCTTCCCATTCCCGGCTTTTTGGGAGTCTTAAATCCAAAAATCTTTAGGGAAAAACTGGGAATTTTCCAGCACGAATAACAGCAGGAACAGCCGGGGCAGTGGGGAGGGAAGGGTTTATCCCAACAGGAAAACCTCTGGATATCGGGATTTGGGGGTGGGAACGGGGATTTCCGGGTGGGAATGGGGATTTCCAGGTGGGAATGGGGATTTCTGGGTGGATCCATGGATTGGGGAATGGATCCTGGGATTGCCAGGTGGATCCAGGGATTTGGGGTGGATTTTTGGGAAGCAGGGGCAGCAAGAAAAGAGGGAATGGCTGTGACAGCAGCGAGCGGGCTCCTCCCGCCGGGAAAACCTCTGGATCGGGGAATTTGGGGATGGAAATACAGATTTGGGGCTGGATCCAGGGACCTGCAGCTGGACCCAGGGATTTGGGGCTGGATCCAGGGATTTGGGGCAGGACCCAGGGATCTGGGGCAGGACCCAGGGATCTGCAGCAGGACCCAGGGATCTGCGGCAGGACCCAGGGATGTGGGGCTGGACCCAGGGATGTGGGGCTGGATCCAGGGATCTGGGGCTGGACCCAGGGATCTGGGGCTGGATCCAGGGATGTGGGGCCGGACCCAGGGATGTGGGGCTGGGCTGTGGGAAGCAGGCCGGCAGGACGAGCGGGCTGGCCGGGGCGGAGGGCACCGGGAGCAGCCCTGGCAGCGGGGGCTGGGGGCGGCCCCGGCCTCGGGGGGGATCCCGGCGGATCCCGGACTTGGGGAGCCGGGAATGGCTGACCTGGGCAGGCCGCGGCCGCCGCTCGGTGTCCGCATGGGCCGCGGGCCGGGAAGGGCCGATCCCGGCGGGATGCGCCGCCCGGGGATGCCGGGGTCCGCGGGGCTCTCCGGGGCTGGGCCCGCAATGCCCGAGGGCGGCGGGAGCGCCGGGCCCGGCCCGGAGCCGCTGCCAGCGGAGCGAGGGATGCCGGGATCTGGGAATCATCGCCTTCCCTCCTCCCCTTCCTCCTCCTCCTCCTCCTCCTTTTCCTGCTTTTCCTCTTCCTGCTCTTCCCGCTTTCCCTGCCTTTCCTCCTCCTGCTTCTCCGGCTTTTCCTGCTCCTCTTTTTCCTCCTTTTCCTCCTCCTTCTCCTGCTCCTCCTTTTCCTGCTCCTTCTGCTTTTCCTGCTTTTCCTGCTCCTCCTTTTCCTGCTTTTCCCACTTTTCCAGCTTTTCCTCCTCCTCTTTTTCCTCCTTCTTTTCCTGCTTTTCCCACTTTTCCAGCTTTTCCTCCTCCTCTTTTTCCTCCGTTTCCTCCTTCTTTTCCTGCTTTTCCTTCTCTTTTTCCTGCTTTTCCCGGATTATTTTTGGGAAGCGGCAACAGCATGCGTGGGGCTTTGTGAATTAAAGGAGGTTTTCCTGGTTTTTTTGAGAATTAAATTTTTTTTTCCTGATTTTTCCTATTTTTTTTTTCTTCCAAGAATTAAAGTGATTTTTCTTGAGGTTTTTTTGTTTGGTTGGTTTTGGTTTTGTTTTGGGTTTTTTTGGAATTAAAAGGAATTTTCCTGGGTTTTTGGTTTGGTTTGGGTTTTTTGTTGTTGTTCTTTGTTTGGTTTTTTTCCCCCCAGAAATTAATTAAAGTGATTTTTCTGGAGTTCTTTTCTGAGATTAAAGTGATTTTTTCTGGGAATTAAAGTGATTTTTCTGGAGTTTTATGCTAGGATTGACAGCAATTTTCCCACAGTGTTTTTTGGGGGGAAATAAAGTGATTTTTCTGGAGGTTTTTCCTGGAATTTCCAGTGATTTTTCCCCCGCATTTACACTGATTTTCCAGGAATTTTTTGGGAATTACAGCAATTTTCCCAGGTTTTATCAATCCTTATTTCCAGCCCTCCTGTCCCAGCCTCCCAGGATGCGGGAACGCTGATCCCAAAAATCCCCTCTGGGCTTTGGGGTGAGCCCCGATTTTGGGGTGGCTCCAACCCCTTGGAAAAATCCCAGAATTCCAGACCTTGGATCCTCCATCCAAGGGGGTCAGCTTTGGGATCCAACCTTTGCCCGGTGCTTTATTGGGGTTTTTTTGGGATCCAACCCTTTCCCACAGGTGTTTTTTTGGGATCCAACCCTTTGCTGGTGGTTTGGGGTTTTTTGGGAACCCCACCCTTTACTGCAGGGGTTTTTTGGGGATCCAGCCTTTCCCACGGTTTGTTTTTGGGATCCAGCCCTTTCCCACAGGTGTTTTCTTGAGATCCAACCCCTTCTCGGTGGTTTTTGGGGTTTTTTGGGGGGATCCAACTCTTTCCTGCAGTTTTTTTTTGGGATCCAGCCCTTTCCCACGGGTGTTTTCTTGGGATCCAGCCCCTTCCCAGTGTTTTTTGGGAATCCAGCCGTTTCCTGCAGCTTTTTGTGGGGGGATCCAACCCTTTCCCACAGGTTTGGGGTTTTTTTAGGGGGGAGGTGGATCCAGCCCTTTCCCACGGTTTGTTTTTGGGATCCAGCCCTTTCCCACAGGTGTTTTCTTGGGATCCAACCCCTTCCCGGTGTTTTTTTGGGATCCAACTCTTTCCTGCAGGTTTTTGGAGGGGGAACCCAACCCTTTCCCACAGGTTGTTTTGGGATCCAACCCTTTCCCGATGTTTTTTGGGATCAGAGATGCACACACCCCAAACCCGCCCCTCCAGAGCCCCCCCGGGTGCTCATTCCCGACCCATTCCCGGCTTTGCAGCCTCCCCCATCCCAAAAAAAGCTCACCTGGGCTGGGAGAAGCGGGAGCGCGCCGGGAGCTTCCCCGCGGAGCGGCCGCGCCGGGCCCGGCTCGGGCGGGGCCGGGCGGGAGCGGGGCCGGGCTCCAGCCGAGCCTGAAATTCCGGGAGATCATTCCAGGGGATCGGCCGGGCGTGCGGGAGCCGCGGTCCGGCGCGGGAGGAGATCCGAGCTGGGATTGGGGATGGGAATCCACCGGGAAAAGTGATCCCAGCCGGGACTGGGGATGGGGATCCACCGGGAAAAGTGATCCGAGCTGGGATTGGGGATGGGGATCCACCGGGAAAAGTAATCCGAGCTGGGATTGGGGATGGGGAATTCATGGGAAGTGATCCGAGCTGGGATTGGGGATGGGGAATTCACAGGGAAAAGATCCGAGCTGGGATTGGGGATGGGGAATTCATGGGAAGTGATCCGAGCCGGGATTGGGGATGGGGAATTCATGGGAAGTGATCCGAGCTGGGATTGGGGATGGGGAATTCACTGGGAAAAGATCCGAGCTGGGATTGGGGATGGGGAATTCACTGGGAAAAGTGATCCAAGCTGGGATTCGGGATGGGAAATTCATCAGGAATTGTCTAGGTGGGATTTCGGGATGGGGAATTCATGGGAAGTGATCCGAGCTGGGATTTCGGGATGGAGAATTCACAGGGAATATCCAGCTGGGATTTCTGGATGTGGGATCCTCCCGAGAGCAGCTCCGTGACCAGGGTGGGGCAGAACCAGAAAATGATCCCAAAAAAAACCCTGGGAGTGACTTTTCCAGGGGTTTTCCAGGCAGGTCAGGGGGGCTTGGTGGCTCCTGGCTTGGGAAAAAATTCCCAAAAAGTTCAGCAAGGTGGGTTGGATCAGCCTGGAAAAATTGGGGATGGAGATCTTGGAATGGGGTCAGGCCACAGGGGTCGGATCCGGCCAGTGCATCCTGGATCCAGGGAAAATCCTGGATGCGGTCAGGATGGGGTCGCAGGGGTCAGATCCTGGATCCAGGGAAAACTGGGAATGCTCAGCCTGGGATGGGGTCACAGGGGTCAGATCCCACCTATGGATCCTGGATCCAGGGAAAATTTGGGATTCAGAGCCTGGAATTGGATCCAGGAAAAAGCTGAGGATGGAGAGCTCGGAATGGGGTCAGGCCCCAGGGGTCAGATCCTGCCCATGGATCCTGGATCCAGGGAAAATCCTGGATGCTGTCAGGATGGGGTCATTCACAGGGAAATAAATAAATTAAAATATAAAATATAAAAATAAATAAAAATAATAAAACCGGGGAAATGCGGGATGTGGAGCCCGGGATGGGCTCAGCCCCCGTGGACACGGCTGTGGAAATCCAGGAATGCTGAGGCTGGGATGGGATCACACGGGGTGGATCCACCCACGGATCCTGGATCCAGGGAAAAGTGGGAATGGGATCCCATCGGGAATCAGGCCTCAGGGGCTGGATCCCACCAGTGGATCCTGGAATTCCCCAGGACGTTGGGATGTGGAATTTTCCAGGATGTTGGGAATGGGGTCCAAGGGCTGGGATCCTGCAATTCCCTGGGATGTTGGGAATGTGGATTTTCTGGGATTTTGGGAATGGAGAATTGCCCGGGATGTTGGAAACGTGGAACTCCCCAGGATGTTGGGAATGGGGTCCCAGGGATGGGATCCTGGAGTTCCCCGGGATTTTGGGAATGTGGAACTCCCGGGATGCTGGGGTGTGGAATTTTCCAGGATTTTGGGAATGTGGAACTCCCGGGATGCTGGGATGTGGAATTTTCCAGGATTTTGGGAATGTGGAGCTCCCGGGATGTTGGGAACAGGGCCCTGGGGTGGGGATCCCATAATTCCCCAGGACGTTGGGATGTGGAATTCTCTGGGATGTTGGGAATGGGGTCCCAGGGCTGGGATCCCGTAACTCCCCGGGACGTTGGGATGTGGAACTCCCGGGATGTTGGGTTCCCATCCCTGCCCAGCCCTCCCGCTCCCCCGGGAGCCAACCCATGCAGACGTATGCAGACGTATGCAGATGTATGCAAATGAGGGGCGGGACCGCCCGGACCGGACCGGGCGGGGCGGGGCGGGCGCTGCCCCGGGATTCCCCGGGCCGGGCTCGGTGCCACCGGCTCGTCCCGAGCTGCGGAGTTCCTGCGGGAGCCCCGCTCCGCACTGCGACCTGCGTGGTTACGGCTGTATTTGTATTTATTTTTATTTTTATAGCCCTGTATATGCTTACCGTTATGTTTACATTCATATTTGTACTTTGTTTATGCTTCTATTTGTATTTTCAATTTTTAATGTTTATTTTTATGTTGATAATTTTTATTTTATGTTTTATATTCCTAGTCATACTGTTAATTTATAATTTATATTTGTATTTATGTCTATATTTATGTTTGTATTCGTGTTTAAATTCAAATTTAGCATTTTATTTTGATTTTTATATTTATATTCACATGTATGTGTCTATATTGATGTTTATATTTTATATTCCTATTTATACTTACGGTTATATTTACATTTGTACTTTATTCATGTTTATATTCAAATTCATCTTTGTACCTTGATTTTTGTATATACTTACATATATAAGATTATATTTATCTTTTCTTTTTATCCTATCTACATTTACTTTTATATTTACATTTGTATTTGTGTTTATATTCAAATTTATCTTTGTATTTTTATTTTTAATTTAAACATATTCATATCCACGTTCATATTTCTATTTCTTTTAAAATTTATATTTGCAACTTTGCATTCACCTTAAAGATTATACTTATTGTTTGTGTGTATAATTGTATTTCTATATTTTTGTCATATTTCTGAAAAAATTCCCAAAAAGTTCAGCAAGGTGGGTTGGATCAGCCTGGAAAAATTGGGGATGGAGAGCTTGGAATGGGGTCAGGCCACAGGGGTCGGATCCGGCCAGTGCATCCTGGATCCAGGGAAAACTGGGAATGTGCAGGCCAGGATGGGGTCACAGGGGTCAGATCCTGGATCCAGGGAAAACTGGGAATGCTCAGCCTGGGATGGGGTCACAGGGGTCAGATCCCACCTATGGATCCTGGATCCAGGGAAAATTTGGGATTCAGAGCCTGGAATTGGATCCAGGAAAAAGCTGAGGATGGAGAGCTCGGAATGGGGTCAGGCCCCAGGGGTCAGATCCTGCCCATGGATCCTGGATCCAGGGAAAATCCTGGATGCTGTCAGGATGGGGTCATTCACAGGGAAATAAATAAATTAAAATATAAAATATAAAAATAAATA